ATTTATAATAGTGATTCATTATTACTGAGATATGATGAACGAATGAAATAACTATTGAAAAACATAGTTTGAAGGAATACAATTATATATTCCCAGAAACCAAATCTAAGTATCTACCGCTGTAGCCTGTGTAGCCAAAGTAAAAAGGTTGAAAAGATTTAGCATATATACCAAAATGCCTAGTGTCTTTGTTTAATTATGATGTTTTTTTCAAAAACATTTATTTATTTGTTTATTATTTTAATCACACAGACTCGCTCCACACAGTATGGCAACCAATACCCTTTATTGAATTGGACTATATATAAGCTGGAGAGCTGCTGATGAATTGAAAGTTGGAAATCAAGCCCATGCACCTACTGATTTGACGTTTCTGTCTTTGTGTCACTGTATGTTCTCAAGCAATCAGATGTCAGTCCATATATGCCCTTGTTTAGTTCCACCCCAATTTTCAAAAAGTTCTATATTTAATCTTGTCATCATGAATGCCCAAAAATTAATGTGCATGGATCATTAAATGTGAAAAAAAGAAAAACTAGGAGGTGATCTTTGGTGGGAAATTACTTAGAAACGTTTTGAGCCTAATTAGTCCATATTTAAACACTATTTGTCAAATAAAAACGAACGTGCTACACTAGCCCCAAAATCCAAATTTCTCCGAGGGCTATATATGGCCCATCACCGGCCGTCCGGCCGAAAGAATCAAAGAAGACATGCATGGAGCAAGCATATTAGCTGGACCTCTATGTGTCTGTTTAGTTCCCAAAATTTTGTAAAATTTTTCTCGTCATATCGAATCTTTGGACATATGCATGAAACATTAAATATAAATAAAAAATAAAACTAATTATACAGTTTAGACGAAATTCACGAGACGAATCTTTTAAGCCTAATTAGACTATGATTGGACACTAATTGTCAAATAACAACGAAAGTACTACCGTATTATTTTCTAAAAAATTTCTTAACTAAACAAGGCATAGGTCTGCATGTCCACGTGACATGTTGGCACTTCCTGTCGTCCTGCCGTCAGCAATGGCTGCTAGCTCTACTGCCCAACATGTGCACGCCTTGACTGGCGCCATGTGTATATATCCCAAACATGGAATTCCTCCGTAGTGTTCGAGTTAGACACGGCTGGACATTGTAGCCTCCCTCCAAAAAAGAACTGAGAAATCAAATAATATATAAAGTTTAACCAAATATATATAAATATATTAATATTTACGTATGATGTAACAAGTATACTTAAAAGTAAGTAATATATTTTTATAATAAGTATATTTAAAAATATAAATGATTATATATTTTTTTATAAATCTAGTTAAAAGTGAGATTCACGTTTTTTTTTTGGACGGATGGAGTATCATATCTATCGGCTTTGTTTTTTTTTTAAACTACCGGCTTTGCTTCATTTGCAAGTTTGTATCGATGAACATTGTAAAGTTAGCGTGCAGGCATGGGCCAACCAATTCGCAAGCAAGCGTGACCTGACCGCCCCCGGCTTACAGTGACTGTGTAGAGCCAACATGGCTGTCACGGCCCATGAGGCTCTCAGTGTGCCGTGTAATAGGGTATACAGGCCTGCGTGCCTGGTTGTCTGGCCCATGAGCCCATGACTTGGCCTGATGGGGGCCCTGTAAAAACCGTTGACACGAATGGACAACGCAAGTACTCTCTCCTCCTCCCCTCAAAAATAAAAAGTACTCTCTCCTCCGTTCTTCCCTTTCGTCCCAACTTCTCCTCCGCCGCCGGCGACCGGCGGCAGCTTACCCATCAGAACCCGTCGGCGCGACAAGGAACGTTACAATGGCACCGGCCGAGAGCTCAGTGCCCAGGTATCTTTGAAGGAGGGTGAAATGAAATCTTTTTTTTTTTCTCCTTGGCAAAAAGGTTTAACGAACATGATCTCCATATAACCAGCAGCACTGTCTGACTGTCAATGATCTCCAAGATAGAAATCCGACGGTCTGAGCGCCTGCCCACATGATCTCAGTAGCCAGTAGCCACAAGCCCATAATATAACAAAAAACCGTTGGACTTCAGGCTCAAACAGGAACTGCTGGAGCATCAGAAATCTTCTTTTTATTTTAGGAGCAATCAGAAATCTTCTTTATTTTGCCCAAAAGAAAAGGTTAGCTGCAGATAGAGTATACTCCTACAGAGCAGTTGTCAGGCTATCCAAGCGCTAACATGATCTTCAAGATACAAAGCTGCCATCAGCCAGCCACAAAAAAAAAAAAAACTGCCGGCCGGAGTTCAGTAAGGTCCAAACAGAAAACTGCTGGAGCAGCAGAGCAAGGGACAGTTGGGATACACCACAAAAGAGGAAAGCCGTCGGCTCAAAGGGGTACACCATTAGCTCACACGTAATCTTTTTTCCTTTGCAGCGGGTTTAGTGACGTTCAGCTGTATCTTTCTCATCTCTCATGCTTGCTTAGTATTTTGGGGGAATGCGGATCACATTGTCAATCAATAATTCGAAAACCAAACAAAAGCTGAGGAGGATGCGAAATCAGCGCGCAGGAAAACAAAAGGAAGCTGCGCAAAACGGCCTAGTGGAAAGATTAGGCTTTTTTGTTTGTGGCGCTGCTTTTTTTCTTCTCATGTCAGTCAAGAAAACAGTCATCCGCGACACAAAACCATTTCTCCTGTGGGTATCATAGATTTAATCTTCAGACCACTGAACACGAGTTAAACATTGGGAGCCTCTGTATCCACTGAAGATATTTTTTTCTCGAATACGCAAAAGAGTTGCGTATCATTTTAATTAAAAAGAAAAGTTTAATCATATAAATGACGCGCGTATGAGGAGCGCCCTCAGAGGTCTTATAGCCGTAGACTGGACCGTCCTAGCAAACAACTTCAAGCTTCGATATTACATAAAAGATCTACAACCGAGCTAAGAGCAGCGCTGCAACCTACGAAGCGGGGTGCCTCCGCTGCTGGCTGCGCGATCCTACTCCGGCGTCTGAGAAGAGCTTTGTACCTGCATTGGTGTTGGTCGCTGGAAATAACTCGTCCAGAGCTTCAACTTGGCTCGACGTCAAGTTCCCAGTGAAAATGACGTCGTATGCTCTCTTGGACGCGGAAGAAACTGGTGCCGCCAGCGGCGCGATGCCCATCCTCTTCATGAGTAGTACCTCGCGTCCGCTTGGAGGTGGGTATATGCGACAACGGCTAAGCGTCAATCCGCCTGCTCCTGATTGGCATGGGGCGCTTTGCTATCGCCTTCTGCCTTGGAGGACTAGCGATCAATGGCGACTTTCTCTTGCATTACGCCACCTCGGTAAATCTTGCGAGACGTCGAGCGGCCTCAAGTGGCGTGGGCGTCGCGTCGCTGGGGGTGCGCGTGGTCACCGTGATCTAATCCTCGACGTCGAGTTGTCCCACCCGAGGCGGCGTGAGTTATGGCAGCTCTTGCACCAGCGATAACTGAGGCGAGTGAGCAGCTGGCGTCGGAGACGGTTCTTCAATCCCCAGAGAGGCAGCCTCCAAAGTAGGCTGGCACCCGGGCACTGGTTCACTCGATGGTCGGCTCATGACGAGTGAGGCGGCGAGCTCTTCCAGCATCGTGTCGAATAAGACGACCAATGCGGGAGGCCCCGCGCTCACGCACAGCGCCAGCGATAGTGGATCGAGCTCGGGGAAGCATAGTGCAGCAGTAGAAGTAGGTGTCTTGTCGGCATGGTCGGCAGGCGCACCCGTACCAATGTCCTTCGGCTTAGTCATGCGTCGCCGACGTCGTCGTCGTCTCCCGCCGGCATCCACCGAAGATATAATTTTTTTTTAAAAAAATGGTTTCCATATTTCCACAAAGGATGTAACTTTTAAATTGGTTTTCATATTTTCTACCGTAGATATAATTTCCACGGTATATTTTGCCATCTTTGTGCTATCTGTCTACCTCTGTCAATAAGAATAAGAAATTCGTGCTAATACTGAGGGCTTGTTTAGATGCAAAAATTTTTGCAAAATGAGTATAGTGTCCAATCATAGTCTAATTAGACTTAAAAGATTCGTCTCGTGGATTTCGTCTAACTGTGTAATTAGTTTTATTTTTTATTTATATTTAATGCTTCATGCATGCGTCCAAAGATTCGATGTGACGGAGAACGTGAAAAATTTTGCAATTTTTTTTGCAAACTAAACTGGACCTGAACATTTCCAAGCGAAACTGAGGACGCAACGCAACAGTTTCAGAGTTTCAGAGCTCCCTCTCCACGCGCGCGCCTTGTCATTTCCCATGTCAACCACAGGTGGCTTGACAATAGTAGAGACCGGAGGGAGTTTAACTAGTCCATCATCACATCGGAGTACTTTTAGCGCTTGATCACAAATCGCAAACCACCAAAAGGAGCCAACCAACAGCAAAACAGCAAATCACAAGTTCCAACACAGCAAGGCCGTATCAACAAACGTCCAAAAAGAATCCATTGTTGTTTGTTCCTCTCTTCCTCCTCCGGTCCTCCCTCACGAGGCCATGAACAAACAAAGCCACTACCATGTCGCTCCAACGACCGGCTCACTCATCAGGATCGACATGCAGATGCAGGAATGGTTGCAATCCATGGTCAGATTCACCACAGGATTTCAGCAATCCAATCTCAGGAGTTTCCTGTTACTACCATTGGTTTGTAGCCTAAGATCCGGATGAGAACTGGATCATTCGGACCCAAATCCACCAGAAAACATGGCCGCAGATTGCGGAGTACAATCCATCCAACAATGGCAATGACAGGAGCAGAGAACAGAGAACAATGGCAATGCAGCATCTGGAACTGAAAATACCATTTATATTACGGATTAGAACATCCCTACATGTCTGGATAGATTTTTTACATACATAGACACCCTTCATCATCATCATCAATGGCCACCGCCCCGGCCGGCTGCCGGCGGGAGACCTCGACGGCTGACCCAAAATGGGCATTCTTCACCCCCATCATCCGCCGGACGCCGGAACCAAGCACGGCCCTTTCTTTTTCTCTTCTTCGGTCTCACGGCCGCCGCCCCGGCTTGGACGGCTTGGACAGGTAGACGCGGCATTGGATCAGTGTCCGGCCGACTCTGAACCCCGGCAGCACGGTGAAGCCGACCACGCGGTCCTCGGCGGCCGCGGCCGCAGCGTCGTCGCCGGCGCGCCCGTCGCTGACGCTCTCCATGTACACCTCCGAGAAGCGCGCCCCCGTGCGCACCTGGAAGATGGACGCACCGTCCTCCTCGGCGCCGCCGTCGAACGCGAAGAAGAGGCAGTGCAGCAGCCACACACTGCGCGCCATCTCGGCGAAGTCGGCGAACCATGAGCTCTCCGGGAACCCGGGCCCGGCGCTGACGATGCCGCGCTGCTCCAGGCGGCCGAAGAAGGCCGTCTCCATCCGCGCGTGCACCAGCGACAGGTACTTTGCGCGCAGGAACTTGCCGAACCCGCCCCACCGCGGGTTCCTCACGTCCAGGAAGGCGCTGGCCGGCTCCGCCTTGAGCTCCGTGAACTCCTCGAAGAAGTGGCGGCGGTCGTAGAACTCCCGCTCGTCCAGGAAGCTGAAATTGAAGTCGCGGCGGTGGAAATTGGCGAACATCTTCATCGCGACGTACGACTCGAAGACAAACTTGGCGTCGCCGGCGCGGCGGAGCGGGACGCCCGGGTGCACGGCGGCGGCGGCCGCGGCCAGATCCCACCCGGCGGACTGCATCGAGTTCAGCATCGACCTGGCGAAGGAGCGGATCGACTTCACCGTGTGCCGCACCGCGGTGAGGAAGTGGGTCGGGTTGAGGCCGGAGAGGTGGAGCTCGTCGAGCGAGGCCAGGGTGCGGCCGGGGTGGAGCCGCGCCTCCAGGGTGCGCTCGGCGCGGAGCTCGGCGGTGAGGGAGCTCCTGGCGCGCTCGGCCTCGGCGTCCCTGGCACGGAGGTCCGACTCCAGCTTCCGCGCCGTGATCTGGTACGTCTTGAGGAGGTGGCGCTGCTCCTCGGCGTGCGCGGCGAGCGGGGTGTGGCCCGCCGCCGCCGCGCCCCGGGCCGCGGCGGCGGGGTCCCTGAGGTACCTCCGCTTGGTGTCGGAGAGCCTGGTGAACTCGGCGACCACGGCGGCGTCCGCGGACTGGATCGCCTCCGCGTCGTAGGGGAACTGCGCGAGCTGCAGCTGCGCGTACGCCGCCTTGACCGCCGAGACCCCCGCGAAGAGGTTGGCCAGCAGCGCGTCCGCCGCGGCCTCCGGCGTCACATCCCCCGCCCCCGCCGGCTGCCGGACCGCTCCCGCTCCGGGCCCTCCCGCCGCCGCCGCCGCCGCCTTCTTCTCGGCGGCGTTGCGGAAGAAGGCGTCGAAGGAGTAGGCGGCGGCGAGGTTCCCCGACAGCTTGAGCTTGCTGAGGGACGGGATGGCGGGCGGCGGCTCCGTCCGCTCCTCCCCCAGGCCGTCGTCCTCAGCCACGGACGCGGGCGCCTCGGGCGCGCCGCCCGGCGCCGCGGCGTCGACGCGCTTGCGGCGGAGCAGCTTGGTGAAGGTGCGCGCCAGGTTGGCCGCCTTCTGCTGCTGCTGCTGGTGGTGTGGCGGAGCCGCCACTTGCGCCTCCATTGGGGCCGCGCGGGGTTGCTCTCACCGCCGGCTCCTCCTCCTCTCCCTCCTGCTGCTTCCCCCGTCCTCGTGTCTTGTGGCGTCCGTCCGGGTCTGGGGCCTCTCGCCTCTGCTTCTGCTTTGCCTGTGGGGGGAAACGCGGTGTGGGATTAATTTTCCCAGGAATATTTGGGGGTTAATGTAAAGTAAAAGGGGCCTGCGCCTACCAGGTACCAGCCTATGTACGCGTACGTATACCGTGCGTGTGTGCGCGCGTGCCCGTGCGTGGTTCGCCTACCGATGGATGCAGAGGGCTGGGAGTCTAATTTGTGGAAACAGGGAGGGGCGTGGCCGCGATATTTCCCTGCAGTCGAGCCCCGCACCACCGCTCCACCACGCGAGAAATGACACGGTTTTCTCTAGAGGATTCCGGCGGTTTTCCTAGGATTTTCCTACCTTCTTGATGAAGCCTTAACTATTTCGCTGTGTTTTTATTGCACTCTAAAACCATAATCAATTCCCATTGCGCCATTTTATATTATACCAAATATAATTATACTACTGTGAGGTAATTGCTGGAAACTTTAGACATAACATGGTGCAAAAACTAAAGCCTCAATGTCGTCTTATAGCATGATCTCAGGTGGTGTCGTGGAATATGATTAATCAAACCATAACATATGAGTAGATGGTAACGTACGCACATACTGCAACGGTGCACGAGTAACGTGTTATCTGTAATGTAACGGCTCGGTTTACCTAGTATCATTTGAATTCGACATCGTGGGCGGGAGGAAGAGTGTAGAGTACAAATTCATATTACAACGGCTAGTATGCCTATATAGTAATGTAGTAACGTATGCAGGCATCACAACGCGTAAACGACACCGAAAACACCTCGTCATCCATAACGCAATGGCTCGCCTCGTCCAATAGGACTTGGAGCTGGCATGATGGCGATTAACGATAAATGTAACGTAAGTACTAGGATGGAGAGGTATGATGGCGGTTAACGATAAATGTAACGTAAGTACAGGATGGAGAGGTAGGTGATCTCAAGATGGAAGGGATAGGAAACCATTAATAATCGCAAACAAAAAGGTTAAAAAAAACAGAAAATAAACACTCCATGTGTATCAGTTTCACATCTTGGATCAGCTTTCGTGTCATGTTCACGTGTGGAGCCATATATATACATGCCTAGTGTCTACCTAAAACGAGCATTACGCCAACAAAAGTAACAAAAATAGGTGATAGACCAATAAAAAATAACATGCATAGGTACTACTACCGGTGAACAAAAAAAACAAGTTGTCAACCATGACGCAATGGCTCACTTCGTCCAATACAGCTTGGAGCTGGCATGACGGCGGCTAACGCCAAATGCAACGTAAGGACTATGATAAAGTTGTAGATCTCAAGATGAAACGGATGAAAAAACATTAATAATCACAAACAAAAAGGCTTTCAAAAAACGAAAACTAAGCACTTATAGACTCAATTTTACAAGTGTATCATTTTGGCGTCTTGAATTAGCTTTCCTGCCATGTTCATGTGTGCAACCATATATACGCGCCCAGTGTATACCTAAAACATATCAAACATTGCGCCAATAAAAACAACGTACAAATGTACTTTTGCTGGTAAACGACAAAAAAAAACAAGTTGTCACCCATAACGTAACGGCTCACCTCGTCCAATGGAGCTTAGAGCTAACATGGCAACGGCTAACGCCAAATGCAACTTAAAGAGTAGGACATTGTGATATGGGACCTTAAGATGGAGGGGATAGAAAACCATTAATAATCGCAAAACAAAAAGGTTCTTAGAAAACAACGTATATAGGCGTTGCTACAGATAAACGTGTCCAAGCATGTATAAGCTCATTTCTCCAGGTGTATCAATTTGATGTCTTGAATTAGCTCTCCTGTCATATTCACATGTGCAACCATATATACGTTCATAGCATGCACGCAAAACGTGTCCAAGCATTGCGTCTGTAAAAAAACAACGTATATAGGCATTGCTACGGATAAACGACAACAAAAGCAAGCTATCAGCCATAACACAATAGCTCACCTAGTCCTGTAGAGGTTGGAGCTGGCATGACGGCGGCTAACAACAAATGCGACGTATGAAGCATGGACGAGTGACGATAAAATACCCGAGTGATCGAAGGGGTCGGAAAAATAACTAAAAGTAATTAAGGCAATACGTCGTAGCTAGAGAAGAAGTCTATATGTTGTTCTCCTTATATATATCAACGTTTGGACGGTTAGGACTAACTCCGGTACATTGGATCATATTCAAGTTAGTGGTTGTGTTATGTTCGCTGCAACTACCGCTACTGATGTCATAGAGTAAATTGCAGCTGCAGCCGTGGCAAACCGAACATGTCCAATATATCCATGGACCTAGATGTTTATCTAGGACGTGTACGCCCTCAAAACCAGTGGAACGCCGTGGTTTTCATCGCACAAGCACGAGTGCACGACCAAGAAAACGCTTGAAATCCAATGAAGAAAGAGAGGGGGCTGCTGGTGACACAAGCAGGAATGGAAGATAGCTGATAGATAGCTCTATCTTCTTGACATCTATCTCTAGCCAGCGGCTTTTCATCTCAGAATTCCAATCCAGCCGCAAGCGCCCGCAACGGGGCAGAGGGGAAAGAAACGACGGCGCGTGATCCCCGTGCCCCCGCATTCGCAATACGACCCGTCTGATGCGATGCCGCGCAGGCAGAAATCGCCCGGCTCACCACACGCCTCCCTCGCGCCCCCACCGGTGTCTCCGCCTCTGTCTGACTCGGCGGTGACGCGGGCCACAGGAGTGCTGCTGCTCCAAATGCAGAAAAAACGAGGGCAAGGACTGGTCTGATTGCTGATGGCTTTCAGGGTTCACACTCACACACGCATGGCAAGGGTGCCGCCTACTAAAGCGGGGAGCTTTTCGTTGACAGCAACAGCTGGTGTGCTTGGAGCTTTGTTTGTTGTTACTAAACACATCGACATCCATGAGGCGGGTAGGTTAGGCCTGCCCCCACTCCCAGCCCAAGAGAGATCTTTTCTTATTTTAGTGAACAGCACTATCCTTCCTTGTTGTTGTAATAGTGATTACAACCATGAGGCCGGCGGGGTAGCTTCATGTTTGGAACCATTTCCGTGACTATTTAATAGGAGTAAGTAGTAATAAAATATATAGATTTCTATTTCTAAATGGTTCCAGGTTTGCACCCAACCCGGCCAGCACTGGCTTGCATCGCTCCTAAGAGCAGTTCCATGCTTGAACCCAAACATATATCAAGAAAAAAAAAAGAGGAGACGAGGAGGATTATACCAGCACACGGCCAGGTTCGACCGTGCTGTAGCACTGATGGATGGATCGCTTGCCTGCTTTGTTTGCAATGATTCCCACCACTTAGTGATGATGGTAGCACAGTGACAGTGCATGCAGCTTACTGTACTCCCTGCAGCTAACGACATCCTCGCTGTTTCCGTGGACAAGGAAGTGCCACGGGACTGACCACTGACCTCGTGGCCACAAGAGTTCAGGGCCGTGTCTTTTTTTTTCTTTCTTTCATTACAAGGAAAAGGACTTGGGGAGTTGCTTGGTCAGGTCGTGAAAGTGGACGCAGCTCAGGACAAGGAAAAGGCCTGACTGACGGGTGACGGGCGGGCCGCGGGCATGACAGGAACACGCGCACATTCCCCCCTCGCGTGGAAGGGAAAACGAAGGCATGGCAATTGGAAGAAAGATGCTTGCGTTGCGACTTGCGAGGGCAAAAACGTGAGTAGTGGCAGGAGTAGTACACTACCGTTTCGTTTTGCTGAAAAAACAAACCAAAATACTGTTCCGGCTAATTTGTTGTAAAAGAAAACACTGTTCTAACTAAAAAAAAATAAACTAAAAAATATGGATTATAAGACAAACGAACAGTGCCATAGTAGGAGCGGTAGCATGGGGGCCAAACCAAAGTGGAGGATGTGCACGTGAAGAAATGAGGCTAAAAAGATGGTGAATGGTAGTAGCAGTAGTACTGTGTCATTATTCCCCAGAAGACGAAGACGAAGACGACCGGCAGTGCCAGTGGTCACGTGCACCCTTCGTTCGTCGCATCAGAACCGCCGTAGTCCCAGGAGTATTAAAACCTTTGATGCTACAGGAACACGACAAACATAGGAGAAGAAGAGGAAGCACACTGCCGTGCCGTGCGTGATGGAGTCGGTAAAAAAGGAGGAGGAAACGGGGTTAAAATGAAAATCAGTATCCTGAGCGCCTGAGCGGATCGCAGTGCCCGGAATGTCGCCGTTGTTAAAGTGAAAGTCAAATGGTTTAGGAGTCTTACGTGGAGCACAATGCTGGTGTGGTCGGCAGCTCGGCACTCCTCCTCCTTGTCAGGTCGGCACGGCACCGGCACCGGCCGCGCGTAGGGCTGGCCGCTGGCCCTTCCCGATGCCGACCAACCGCCGTCTCGCCAGGGGCGATTGATCAGCCGAAGCGAAACCAACGCCGAGGTTAGATTGCTTCAAAGTTCTAAGTTTTTTTCTCTCTCTTTATCACATCGAATCTAAGACACATGTATGTAGCAGTAAATGTAGATAAAAAAAATAACTAATTACATAGTTTAATTATAAATTACGAGACAAATCTTTTGAACCTAATTAATCCATGATTAAACAATAATTATCAAATACAAACGAAAGTGCTACAGTGCCAAAATTTTTTTTAACTCTCGCAATCTAAACAAGGCCCGAGGCGACCGCGAAATGCTGAACAGGGCGACGCAACAAGAGCAGAGCCGAGCAGGAGTATTTGCAATCGTGCCCCCCACCCTACCCCTCCGGCCGGTCCAGATCCAGCGGCTCAGGCATCCAATCCAATATTTCATTTCACGAGTGCCGGTGCGCGCCCACGTCCACGTGTGGTGCTGTGGTACCGACGTTGCCCCTCCCGGCGCCCGCCCTACCACCACGCGGCAAATCGCTATCGCCGGACTGTTCCAAATCAGGCGGCAGCGGCAC